GTACCCGCTCGCCTCCGTCTGCCACCCGCACCCCCTGCTCCCAGTGACCACGACGCGACCCGCGTGCTCCCAGCCACTGCACCTGACTACTTCTCAAGCCCGACGAGAAGAATCCGACTGCCCAATAAATTTTGAGATCAGATGATTTCTTTCAACGGTAATATACAACGTCTCAAGGTCTGTGAATTTTAAGCCGTAAGTATTCCACTCTAAACCTCTAGATCTGCTGCACATAGATTACGTCTCAAGGTCTGTGATTTAAAATAACAAAATTTGATAAAATCATGGGATATTGAAATTCTTAGCTGATTTTTGTTATGTTATTTTTAATTCTTATTAAATCATGGGATATTGAAAAAAGTCAGGCTGGGCAACATAAATCTTATTTCTTTAAATGTCAGTTACAAAGTTCCACAATGGATGAAAAAAGTCAGGTTGGACAACATAATCTAATCTAATCTCTAACAAAAGTTAGAATGTCATTATCCCATGATTTTAGCACATATTATGATTTATGAATATTAATATTAAATGTGCCAATAATTAGAAGTTGGCAAACAAACTAACAAATATTATGCAATCACATAAATGTGCCCCTAATTATGATTCAGCTTTTCAAGACCTTATATATCCAACGTATTCACACAATCTCATTGCAATTCGTTCAAATCTACCGCAAGCAAAAATTCTTTATCCTAAATATTTTCTAGCTAAGCAATGGCACCCATGTTTGATAATTTGACATTTTTGGCCACAAACAAGAACAAGGCTGCCAAGCTTCGGCTGGTCAAAAACTACCCTCGATATTATCAGTCAAATAAAGCAACAATCAGCGGACATGAGTTCATTTTTCATGATGTCAAAGTATGCAAGTTTTTTGTTTATTTTTCTATTATTCATTTGTTTTTTAAACAACAACATGTCTGCCCACCTTAATAATGTTTGTAATTTTTTTAGGGGCAGTGTGTACACAACTGGGAACCCGGATACTTGGCCCAAAAGTTCGAGGAGTTTAATCTTCTCGAAGGTTATGTGTACAAGATCACAAATTTCGAATTTGAGCAGAACAAAAGTGCATACAAGATAACCAAATCAAATCACAAGTTCATTTTCAACGAACAAACTACCATGTGCGAGACAGTTGATGAAAAATATCCAAGGTTGATGTTTAACTTCAAGAAATTCAGCGAGCTATGCGACCCCCAAACAATCGATTCTACTACGGTTTTTGGTAATTTTTTATATTTTATTAAATATTGCAAATTCTGGTAATCATATACTTTAAATTAAGTTTTTGGTTGCCGACAAATTTGCACATTATGGGAAGGATATGTGGAAATCCTTCTAGATGCCTACAACAATTCATCTCCAAATGAATTGCGTGTAGTCATAATACAATTTTGCCGACCAAAGGCATTTGACGATGGTATATTTGTTGACTTAATTTCTATGATCATCTGATCTCTTTGTTATTTTACATTTATCTTAGAATTTTAAATATTGTCCCAACATTATGATGCCACAAAGATGATAGTCTCAAGTAATGTTCCCGAGATTGCTGATTTCAAACAAAGGTATTTATCATGATTTTTAATTACCTATTTGTTATTATGTGATATAGTATTTGATCAAATCAAAAATAAATATATAACTTGAATTTTAATTTTTCTTTAAATTATTAGGTACAATTCCCACACAAGGCCAAGTATATGTTCAAGCCAATATGCAAAGACGGAGCCATATGAGGCCACGGGCCCCCCCTCATGTTTTTGTAAAAATCAATATATATATATATATATACAAAGAAAGATACTATAAATATATGTATCTATATAAAGAAAGAAAATAATTTATGTATACTATGATACAACTGACTAGGTTCTTGGCCCAACTTCCCTTATCTTGTGACATCTCCTTACCTGAAGCCAACTCAACCCTCATCCTTTGTGAATAGTTGCCACAACATGAAGGGTCTGAATCCATACATGCTGCCACGCTAGCCTGTCAACTGACTTCACGTGCTAGGCATGTGCCCCCTTCAAATCCATAATATTTCTCGCCAAGAGCCAGGGTGCAACACTCATGCACGCTTGCCCCATTCGACTCTCATCAATCAAGCCAACCCTTAGCCACGCACTAGGATAGTCCGACCTTTGCCTACTAGAGCCATCCAACCAACTGTAACCGTCAAGACTGAACCCACGTGTGTATAGGCTATGCACAGCCCTACACACAACTATCGCTGACCGAATCGAGCCCTCGACTTATTCGTACCAGATACCGACTTGGGTCAAATGGGTCAACCCGTGATCCGATCCGACTGGGGGAGTTAGTCGGGCCCCACGCCAGGCCCATGACCCCTTCATGTGCCTCTCACATAACCAGCTCCATTTCCCTTTGAACACTACCTCCCCCAAGAAGAGGAAAAAGTCACTTCTTGGATTCTAGCCACTAAACATTAAAAAAACTGAATATTGCACAAGTTCCCTCCGACCTATCTAAGCCCTGATGAACCTCTTTCCAACCTAAGGAACGCCTAACTAGGCCTTGCAACTTAAGTCCTCACCAAGCTCACTCGAAACCTCCTAGTTTTTTCTGCATACCTTTCCTTATCCGGCGTCGCACACACAATTTGTCGACACCTCTGGCCCTTGGCGCACTAAGGGAAATACACCAAGTCCAAGCCTCAAACTTAGGTCTATAAGTGTTGACCCAACTAGATCACAAGGGTCCCTTGCAGAGCCTAACCCAAGTGGGGTTCTCTATCGAGTGGATCCCAAATCGGCCTACCACGGTTGCAAAACAATGTTCACCACTTACAAATTACAACCAAGTGTAAACTAGACAAATTTTATCATTTTGTAAGCAATAAAGTTCGGAAATTTTCTCATCTCAGCATTTCACCATTTAAGCTATGCATGTAAGCTCGAGTACACTCTTATCCAATTTGTCGACACCTCTGGCCCTTGGCGCACTAAGGGAAATACACCAAGTCCAAGCCTCAAATTTGGGTCTGTAAGTGTTGACCCAACTAGGTCACAAGGGTCCCTTGCAGAGCCTAACCCAAGTGGGGTTCTCTATCGAGTGGATCCCAAATCGGCCTACCAGGGTTGCAAAATAATGTTCACCACTTACAAATTATAACTAAGTGTAAACTAGACAAATTTTATCATTTTGTAAGCAATAAAGTTTAGAAATTTTCTCATCTCATCATTTCACATTTAAGCTATGCATGTAAGCTCGAGTACACTCTTATCCCCCATCTGTTGAAACCCAGAGCTCACATCATACACGTGACGATCTCGTGCGGCCAATCACAAGCCAACATGTTTAAAGTTGTTAAACTCAATAATAATAATAATAATAATAATAATAATAATAATAATAATAATAAAACTAACTGCAACATTACAAGTGAAACACGATTCTAGGTTTAAAAAGGTAAATGCTAATTAAGAACAAAAAACAAACACGAGAAATAAAGCCATCACACGACTCTTCATAATGCTCTCTTCACCATACGTCCAATGCATACACACTCATCTCAACAATTAGTAACGAGTTTCGATTCTTTGTCATTTTTTCTCACAAACTTGCTTGAACTTTGCAAAATGGTTATATATGAACCATATAATACTCTGAACTGAACAATCTAATACAATATTTAGAAAATTATGAATCCGTTACAACTAAAAGCTACGTACTGCCCATTGATTAAGCTATAAAATCACAACTTTGCCCCACCCCCATACAAATCAATGAATCATCTCGAGGTACAAAGGGTATCATGTAAGTTTATTAATAGGTCTAGTAATTAACAGCAGTCATTCATTCTTCTTTCTGAATAAGGCATAAAAGCTTCCAGGTAAAATCTACATAAGTTGAATATTTTGTTAAAAGTTTCTGATGCAAATGCTAAACACACTGCATAACAGATGCTAGCCCTGAGCATCACTAAGTTTTACTAGTTAAATTTTGACCTTTATTCATATCTCCATTACAAGGAGCAGGATAGTGCAGCCGTCCAAAAGCAACGTTTAATTAACACCACTACAATTTAATATTTAATGCAAACAAGATGCCATATGATCTCTTCAACGGAAGGCAAGTACAAGTTTAATGAACACCATTACAATTTCATATTTAATTCAAATAAGATGCCAGGTGATCTCTTCAATGGAAAGTTGGAAGTGCACGACTCACACATTTAATTCTGCAACATCTGGGCCCAACGGCTCAAAAAGAGCATCTATTTCTGCCGTATTAACTTCTTCCAAGCTCGACGGGTTCCACTTGGGGTTCTGACAAAGATCAAAAGAATATCAATTACCAACAACACTACAAATCTGCAATGTTAAAAAAAAGGAAGAAAACATAAATATGGTTCATCAATATTTGGATTTCACTGTGAGAAAAGGTCATACATTTTGATCAAACTGATTCTTACAAGGTTTAGATGAATCGCAATCAGCATTGCCAAGACTAAAAAAATGAGAAAGACAACATTAAAATATTATGTCCACGCATTGTGCAATCCTATTTTTCATGATGCTTTTAGGTAAGCGGATAAACACAAGCACCACAGTTTCAGTACCATCTGAGTAAATAAATGTCATTTGTTACAGCTTTATTAAAACATTATAAAGTTTACGTACGGAAGATCTATTACAAGTTTGGAGTATACATAGGTAATTTAGTTACATGAGCCATGAAAATTTTCTGCATTAAATGTGCAGTTGAGAACACAAATGAACCAAGGATCAGCAATTGCAAGTTTATTGGCAGCGCAGGGGCAGGGCTGAGTGGCTAAAAGCCTGGATGCGATTGCTGTTGAATATGTTTCGAAAATCATGAAAATATTAGCTCGTTAAAGCTATATGATAATGTGCAATACTAACTGCAGACACACACAACATGTCGCATGGCGTAACTTGTATAACATGTGTAAGGATTTTTGCGAACATTTGTCACTGAGATTTGTCATATTATACCTTAATTCTTGATAAATTACGTCAACTCGATTATTGGTAGAGTTTGACTAATAAACATACATTAGTACATTTCCACTTAACCCTATCCCATCATACTGAAAGAATTGTTTATCTATATCTATAATCTATAATCTATAACTCTCTTAAAAATCTCTTAAAAGGGAGAGTTGTTTCTTGAAAATTTTGATTTGCCAAAAATGCCCAACACGATATCTACTTTCTGAGGTTATTAATAATTTTATCATTAATGTTAGGCAGTTACAATCATTAATCATTAATAGTTATATTCATTTTTAATTAAATATTGTTCATTCTTCTATATTATTGTTCTTTCTTGATCTTATTCAACTTTCATTATATATAATATATTCAATACCTTATTTGTTTAGTTGATATAGAATATAGAAATATAAATCAAATAATGAAATAAACATTAATTGATACAAGGTTAATTTTCATTTTTCTTATGTTGTATGAGATCATTAAAATTTTGGATCAAAAATATATTTCTATATCATTATATTTACTATCTACTATAACTCTCAAAGAGTTCTTTCTTGAAAATTTTTATTTGCCAAAAATACCCAACATTCTGAGGATATTAATGTAATTCTATCATTAATGTAAGGGAGTTATAGTTACATTCATTTTTCAATCACACATTGTTCATCCTTCTATATTATTATTCTTTCTTTTATCTTTGATCTTATTCAACTTTCACAATATATTATATATTCAATCATTTATTTTTTTTAGTTGATATAGAGACATTAAGACTGTCTAAGCAAATATAGAAATAATGAAATAAACATAATGTGATTGATAAAAGGTTAATTTTCACTTTTCTTATGTTGTATGAGATCATTAAAATTTTGGATCAAAAATATATTTCTAATATCATTATATTTACTAATTATCATAGATATTATAATTTCAAATACCATTTTTACAAATTTGATACAAAATTATGTTTTACATTTTTTACAGTTATATTACTCAATATTATTTTATATGAACATAAGTTATCAATTTGGTTATTACGATTTAAAATATAACTTTTCATACAAGAGAATAAATAAATCTTATGATTTTTTTTCTTTAACAACTCTTATCCGTTTTAAAATATCATATTATTTATTTCTTCATTTTGAATTATATTATTTTTTCTATGTAAAAATAAAGTGAGAAATAGTAGTGCTAAGTATTATATCGTTATCAATGATAAAAGCCGAAGCATAATCCTCCTATATAACTAATGTGGATAAAATAATATTGACTAATATAGCTAAGAGAAAATTTATATCGTAAATGATTTATATGAACTTAGTATCAAAAATATATTATTGATACTAGATATTAACAACACATGCTTATTTGTCATATTATTTTGGTTTCTAGATTATGTAGGAAAAAAAGGGAAGGAACCAAAATTAACTTTTATCTTCGATCATTAACTATTACAATTCAAATCCATTTATTTTTTATTGAATATGTATCTGTTCGCTTTAGAATTCTTTCAGATTATATTTTAAACACCCTTTATTATGTTTATTTTGATCTCATAATATCATACAAATTACGATTCTTGGTTTCAATATTCTCTTAAAAAACTTAAAGTGAAAGAAATTAGTTAGCAGATATAACTTTGTGAATATTAATCATTCAATATACATGTAAATCATTTAAAAATATTTATATTTATTAAATAAAAAATTAAATCTATCAATAAATATATATATATATATATATATATTAAGTTATTAATCAAGAAGATTTTGGATAATACCAATTAAATTCACCTTTCAATAATTCACATAAATATAAATTTTTTTTCATAATAATATTTGTTGGATTTATATATATATATATCATTTACATTAATTTTAGAAAATTAACTATTATGAAAAATTAAACAAAATAACCAAAATGCAACAAAATCATTAATTTATTATATACATTATTACAAATAATAATGAACATGTTTATTTTACATTTAATGTCACTAGTCAGTCTTTTTTGTAAAATTATTCATGCCATAGCTATACAAGAATTGTTATGCATCACTCTCTAAAAACATGATGTAAAAACAATTTTTATAATACAATGCGCCTTGACATGACACAAATTGGAAAAGCTTCGGAGACTATTGATAAAAACTGCATGAACATGCATCATTCCTTTCGCCAACCAAACCATATAAGCTCAAAAGTTAAGCGTCATCATTTTGGACTAATGGACGTTACAATATCAAGATAAAAATATGACATTAAAGAATCTAATTTATAATTTATTTAACTCTTTTTTATTGTTTTGGAAAGTCTCGAATGTCCATATAAAAATGAGTAGTGCATATGTAATAATGTTCGAGAAACACATAAGTTGTCCATGTTTTGTTATATATAAAAGTATTTTCAATTTTGTTTGGTCGTTATTCATAAAATATAAAAATTAACTAACTTATTTTTATTTAATCATAGCTCTAAATTAATACCATTATTATTTACATTTCAGTGCCCACTAAATTTATATATTTTATTATTATTATATATATGTGTGTATAGGGATTGGTTCCAATGCATCCACTTATTTAAAGTGAGGACGTGAGACTCATTTTTAGCCACAAGATTTGCATCATGTGTGGCCAAGATTTACTTTTTTCTTTTTATTATTTTAATTATTTAAATATTATTTTGACCCGTTGAACTGTTGACTTCCGACGAAATCCGTTGACTTACGGCGTTGACCGTTGACAACTAACCTTCCAACTAGGTTAGTTCTCTGTAGTTGCTAGGTTAGTTCTATATAGTTGCTAGATTAGTTCTCTATAGTTGCTCGGTTAGTTCTCTGTAGTTGCTAGGTTAGTTATCTGTAGTTGCTAAGTTAGCATAGTTTAAAATGGCGACGCAATGGCGACGCCTCGAGGCGAGGCGACCATGTTCGCGAGGCGGTCGCTTCGGGTCGCCTCAGCTCGCCTTTTTGAGTGGCGAGAGGCGCCTCTGAGGTGCGCCTCGGCGCCTTTCAGAGAAATTAAAGGCACTGTCCATTTAAAAAAAAAAAAAAGAAAAGTGTGCCACTTTTTTGAAAGAGAATAAATACCTCACCTCCCAGACCCACGAAGCAAAAAAAACTTCAGTGAAAAATCCCTAAATGGCTTCTCCCCAAACTAGAACTAGGGTTTCGGCGAAAGAACTCCCTAGGCTTCTCAGATTTGAAAATTGCAGAAACCCACGGTAGGCACATCCCATTTCCGGCCTCCTGTGAACTCCGGCCACCATCTTGCCGCCGCCAAGACGGTCGGTGATGCGTGTCTTTTCCTTTTTTTTTCCTTCTCCATTTTCTCTGTTTTCTCGTTCTCCTTTCTGCCGCTAATATTTTTCTTCTTTCTTCATTTTTTTACTTTATTTATGTTTACTACTATTGTCAATAGTCAAGGGTGACACGGTGTAGCATCTTTTCTTTCATTTTCTTTTACTTTACACTTTTTATTTACCTTATTGCTGGTATTCACATTTAAGTTTTAGATGCTTTTAGAAATTACAACTAAATTTAATTTATGTTATCTTTTTTAGGATATTTAAGATTATTTTTGGCACTTAAACTTTAAATATATGATATTACTATCTATATTTATATTTTTTTAAGCTTTGATGACTTGTGTTCGCGAGGCCTCGCCATTGCGAATCGCCTCGCCTCGTGGCGAGGCTATGGGCGAATCGCCTCGCCTCGCCATTCGCCATTTAAAACTATGTAAGTTAGTTCTTTGTAGTTGCTAGGTTAGTTCTCTGTAGTTGCTAGGTTACTAGTTGCTAGGTTAGTTCTCTGTAGTTGCTAGGTTACTAGTTGCTAGGTTAGTTCTCTGCAGTTGCTAAGTTAGTAGTTGCTAGGTTAGTTCTCTGTAGTTGCTAGGTTAGTTGTTTGTAGTTGCTAGGTTAGTTGTCTGTAGTTGCTATGAGCTGGGCGCATTGTAAGAGCTGGTCGCATTTGATCCGCCCCCTATATATATATATAATTATATATATATAATTATTAAATTCATGGAAATTTTTCAATATTTGAACCTTTAGACCATAAAAAATATTAATAATCACATGCGACGCACGTGCATGTTCCTAGTATGGTGAAGTGTTTGAGTGGAATCCTTGTTATTGTTTTACGAGCACTTTTTCATATTATTCTCTGCCCACACTTTGAATGTAGCGATAGTTCAGATATTAAATTGACACAACACTGCTTCTGTCCATGAGCATTAATTTATTATCGCATGGCACTTGAAGTATTAAAACGTAGTTATGAATTTGCGGATTGTCAGTTACGTAATTGGATCTGGAGATTACGAAAGTGCATAAATAGGGATGGCAATTTCTTGTGCAGGTGTGTAGGTGCTTGGGCTTTTGTGATGTCTTTTTGGGGTGGATTTGGGCTTGCATTAGTACTACCTCTTTTTCTTTTAATTTTAGTAGGCAGTGTTTAGGTTATGTGGTGCCTTCTAGAGGACTTAGGCAGGGGTGTCCTCTATCTCCTTATTTATTTATTATTGCTTCTGAGGCATTATCAAATCTCATTCATCAAGCCTGTCTAACAAATTCCTTTCAAGGTCTCAAGATTAGCAGGCATTCTCCTAGTATATCTCATTTGTTTTTTGCAGATGATGCTCTCATTTTTTGTCAGGCTAATACCTCTAATACTCTTAGGTTAAAGACTATCCTTCAATCTTATTGTGGTGCTTCTGGCCAGGCTGTGAACTTACATAAATCCAGTATATTTTTTTCTAGCAATACTTCTCAGCAGGTGAAGGATTATATTTGTGGTTTGTTTCAGGGGGTGGCCTGGCCTAAATATTCTAAGTATTTGGGTCTTCCTTTGGGGATAGGTAGATCTAAGAAGGATACTTTTGCTTTTGTGAGGGAGTGTGTGGTGTCAAAAGTCACAAATTGGAAGAATAAATTTCTGAGTGAGGCAGGGAGGGAAATATTAGTGAAAACAGTTATTGCAGCCATGCCTACTTTTGTTATGTCAGTTTTTAGATTACCAATAGGGGTGTGTAGAGAAATCTGTCAGATCATAGGCAAGTTCTGGTGGGGAACAAAGGAGGGAGGAGGGGATAAAATTCACTGGATGAGATGGGATAGACTAGCTCAACCAAAGACTGTAGGGGGGTTGGGGTTTAAAGTGTTTGAGGATTTTAATGTAGCTCTCATTACTAAACAGCTTTAGAGGGTTATTACTAGACCCAATCTGTTGATGAGTAGGGTAATAAAAGGGAGGTATTTGCATAATAAAAGTCTTATGGAAGTGAAGAAAAAAGACAGCGATTCTTGGTTGTGGAAGGGTTGGCTAGAGGCTAGGTGGGTGTTGGATCTAGGGGCTAGGTTTTGGTGGGAGATGGTCAGTCTATTAGTATTTGGAAGTCACCTTGGATCCCAAAAGCTGTCAATTTCAAACCAGGTTGTCCTTTTCCATATGATCAGCACAGATTGGTTAAAGTGGCAGATCTCATGAAAGGCAGCAGAGATGTGTGGGATGAAGACTTGGTGAGACAAACTTTCACACCAGAGGATGCTGAGAAGATCTTGAGCATTGAGATTAGGAGGGGACACAAAGATAGACTAATATGGCATCACAGCAAATCAGGAGACTTCTCAGTTAAAAGTGCCTACACTGCTATTCAAAAAAAGAGGCTGGAAGGAAAAGGGTTGGTGGAGAGCAGTACAAGAGGACAAGCACAAGAGAGGATGTGGAAAAGAACATGGACTTGCCTATCAAGCCTAAGATAAGACACTTTCTGTGGAGGTGCTATCACAATTGCATAGGCACTATGAGTAACCTGTGTAGCAGAGGGGTGGTGGAGGATGATAGGTGCAGAGGATGTGGGGAGGAGAGAGAGACATTAGAGCATATCTTGTTTAGCTGTGGCAGAGCAAGGAGGGTGTGGAAATTAGCAGGGGTTTATTGGGAAAAGCTACAACAGCCACATGTGGATTTCAAAGGGTGGTGGGAGGAGGTCTGTTCTTTAAAACTCAAAGGAAGTGGAAAGGATAGGATTTCATTGTCAACCTATATCATGTGGTGGCTGTGGACTACGAGAAATGGTTGGATATTCAATCAAGAATGGGTGGCAGAGAAGCAGGTTGTAGATAAAGCATACCAGGAATGGCTGGAGTTTGAAGGTGTTAATGAACCAAGTAGAGGAGGGGCTGGCAGGTTGCAAGGAGTAGGGGCTCAGGTGTGTGGGCTCAGTGCTAATGTAACTGCTGCAGGGACTGGGTTTGTGAAGGGATTGGCTTGGCACAGGGACAAATTGGCTTACAGGAGTGGTTATTCTTAGGCAAAGAAGCTGGGTGGCAAGCTGTGGAAATCCAGGTCAATGATGAACATCTCAGAAGCAAACTTGTGGAAAGACAAACTGTTACCTGTGGGGATGTTACATTGACACAGGATTTTTATTGCTTAATATCTTGCTTTAATTCTTGTTCCTTTGAAGCTGTGCTTAGCAGGGAGGAAAACTGAATGTGGTTGAACTTAGTTTGTAGTATTTTGCTTGTTTTCTTATTTGTTTGGCCTAGTTGGTTGTGTAGGGGGTTCATTGAGTAATCCCTCGTGTTAACTCTTATCTGGTCTGTCAGGTAAGGTGTTTAATTTGTAGCCGGTTGGCTATGCGTATGTACATTTTGAGTTTTCTTATAATGAAATTTGATGTTGAAAAAAAGAAAAAATGACCGACTTCTTAAAACATGCTGCTACCTNGATTGTTCCTTGTTAAAAACTTTTACTATCATGATTGTTTCGCTTTAAAATTTTAATTCTCACGAGGAACAAAAATCTAACGGGAGAAAAATAGTACAAGTATAATGGGTCGGGGCCTCATCTTTCCAATGTTCAATGAAACAAAATCCAAAGTATAACTTACTTGAATGGATAATAATCAAGTAGAAAGACTAACCTGGTCTTTGTCTACTAAGACTGCCCGAACACCCTCGGTGAAGTCACTTCTAAGAGCAGACCTAATTGCAACTCGGTATTCAGCTTTCATCACACCAGTCAGCTGCACAGCATGTTCCAAGACACCAGTTTAAAATATGTAAAATGAACTGAAGGTCGACATCAAAAGAAAAAAATGAAGAAAAAAATCACACAAACGAACATCTGTGATTCACCACTGACCAGAGGTAAGTTAATATGGGGAACGATAAGTGCTCACCTTGGATAAATCATTATCGATCTTGCCTTGGGCAGACTTCACTCTTGAAAAATGCTTTCCTGTAAGGTTAAGAGAAAAGGGAGCTCCTTTCCTTAGCCCTTGCAGTGCATCCTTCGCCCACTCCGCCACTGTCAACAATCATTGGAAATTTGAGTAAAGAGATAAATAATACACTAGCATATTGCTCCATGCATTGCACGAGAACCATTTAAAATGAAATATGTAAATTGAATAAATTGAATTCCAGAACATTTTAAAACATAGTCAATCATATCATCTTTTTTTTTTTTTGGGTTATTAAGCAGAAAAGAATGCAACTCAGTGAAACAGTCAGAAAATTGTGAAACATAATCAATTGCGTGGCTGCTAAAAATGTGGACAGAATTAGTTATGTGGCTAACTTCTCCTCACAGATTTTCATATTTTCGATAATGGAAAAATATGTATTTTCCGGCCAAATTTCAGACATGCTGTTTATGTACTACTGAGTCTTTTAACTCTATATATATTTGTAGATATAGAATTCCAGAGCCAATTATGGTAAATTAATACTAGTACTCACCCAGGGTATCACCACTTAGCTGATGATTTTCTAGCTCCTCCATTACCTCCTTTATAGACTTGCTACTTGCAAAGGTAGAAACTATCCGTGGTAAAAGTAACTTCAGACGAGGTTCAGCCTCAGGGTTTCTGCTATATCTTTCCAACAGTGCTCTGATTTCCTGATCGGGGTCCTCAGAACTGTAGAAAACAATTGAAGCAAGGTCTTTAAATATTACTGTTTTTCCTATCACAGTTCAACGAGATGCTTTATATGCGAAGCAAGCAATAATATATACTCCTATAACATATGACCATTTTCAGCTAACACCAATATAAAAATTCGAATTATCGTATGTTAAGTATAAAGTTACCTTTACTAGAAATGAGGACAGTCTTAACTCAAAAGTTGGAAAACAGAAAGTACAACTCTTTCAAAATGTTATGAAAGCATAAGAATAAATTCTGTTTGAATGTAGAATATAACCCTATCTGACATTCTATTAAAAGAAAGCATACAATGCGGTTGCTAGGAGATCTCCCTTTAATGCAGCCAGGCTGTCATAAGGCACGTAATGTGTTCCCAGACCAACATATAAAGCATCAGCTGGTGTTGATATCCTACTTCCCGTCAGTCCAAGGTAAGCTCCTGTAAAACCAAAACCGAGTCAGAAAGTGGAGGCGCAAAGATACAAAATCATTCCCTATCGCAAATTTTAAGTTTTATCATGATTAAGTCTCCCAGACATCTACTTGAACAATCAAATTAACAGGCCAATGAGTCTAAAGAGAGGTTAACACAGGGAATTAGCATAAGCTATTTTAAACTCCGCAAGGACCTCACTAATCATGCAACAATTTCCTTGGATTTTGTAAGACCGAAGGCATCCCTTGCAGGATGAGCATGAATTATTAACAAACAAGATGACGATATGCATATTCTTCCAAACAAATCTTGTCAATTAATAACAAGTGAAATCCGTCAAAGGGATAGATGATAAGTAACTTAAAGGGCATGTGAAACATGGCTTCATGCATGCTCAAGAAACTCGCAATAAAAATTATGAATCAGAAGAAACTAGTTAGAAAATACATCTATGCATATGATGTGTCGATTTCTACAATGGTGCCTCAAGTCTTGTGCTAACTATCTCATTATCATTACTCAAAAACGGACACTCAAGAAACAACAGTTCAAATGAAGAACGAGAGATAAGCTAGCCATAGATCTGAGCGAAGCATCGCCTGTGCAAGTTGATTAGAAGAGACCATTCTCTTTTCCAGATTCGTTAGAGGATTTATCCAAAAGATATTCTGGACAAGAGACCATCAGTAAAACGATTTTTAATGTATAATGAAATCATCCATAACCAAGTGAAATCAAGGCAATGCTTATCATATGGAATTATTGAAAATATGTGGTCAAGAATATCGCATTTTACTTTATAAGAAAGCAAGATATGTTAAAAAGATTCCCACGAAACTCACTTATAAATATGCAGTGAATTTCAGTGTTTGATGTGAAGATACCATTAGAATACTAGTTTCTTGGATGTAGAATATGCATAAAGGAAATGTCACAACCAAGCAACCAACTAATCAATGAAGTCTGAAGTCTAACCTACTGCTCCTTCTCCCGGACTTTTTGCTGCGATATACGCAAAGCCAACATCTGGGAACAAGCCGATACCATTCTCTGGCATAGCAAGCACAGTTTTCTGACAGGAAGTTTTACAAAAAATCAGATACTTTAAATCATCATCCATTATACATTATACTGTGACACCAAATCTCTTCTGGAGCAGCAAACTGATTTACCTCAGTAATAAGCCTGTAGCGACCATGACCAGATAGACCAATTCCAAATCCCATGGTTATCCCGTCCATAAAACAGATATAGGGCTTCTTGTACTCAGAAATCTTGCATATCAGGGAATATTCAGCAGTAAACACCTAATGAAGAACTCAAAATAACAAAGAACCTTTTGTCAGGAGGACATTTGAAGAATAATTAAAAATAGTGAGATGAATTCCATTAAAAATGCAACTTATTACAACACAGTACTCATAAAACCTGAAAGTCAACTCTGGCAACCTTGCTATAAATTTTCAAAGAAAGATTGAAATTAGCCTAACGAAGTAGCTGCTTGAACAGTTAAATAAATTGCGCAACCATTAAAGATCGAATGATTGTTTCAACCATGCACTATTAGGGATCATGTTTATCATAAGAAACAAATAAATCACCACTTATACACTAGTGTATTGGAAAAATGTAAATTTGAAATTCTAGTTTCTTCAGAACCTCATACTTAGAGTTTTGTAGCAGTTTTTTGTTGGAAAATATTCAAAAGAAATTTGTCCTGCCAGTTGGCATGGCATACAAGGAAAAACAGAACAAAGAGGGGAAATAAAATAAATAAGATAACCAAAACCAAACTTAATACATCAAATCTTCATGAACAACTGGGGCTTTAGCAAAGAAAAAGGCCAATCTACAAGAATCACTAAGTATCCCTTTCAAAAGTCACATAGAAGAAAACCTATATATGTATACCTTTAATCAAGAATCTATATATATATATATATATATATAGGAGAATATTTGTTTCCCGCTCTTTTTTAGGTTAATTATGGTAATAAAAGTAATCATAGTTTGTAACTATTCTATCTTATAATACTTACAATTAAANATATAGTCAAACCCCTTAAAATTGCATAAATAATTGCTATAATAGTAATTTTAATATTTTTTTGGCTAGTTAATTAGTCATGATCCCTAAAATAAGAAAAATTACATTATTCATTTCATGCATAGTTTATAATCTATATATATAGATATATAATTTGGAGCAACATCATTTAATTATATTATCAGTGTATTTAATTATATTATCCCGCCTAAAACTGTTACAAATATTATAATATATTTTTTATGTTTTTTTATTTTCTTTGTTACCTCACCTAATCAATAATTGCATGTATTTTTCAGCTAAATCATCTTATTACATTAAAACGTTTATCTTCTTATTTTGCAGCAAACTACAACCATAAATCATGCACTTTATTTGATTTATTAATACGTGTAAACATTGATATATAATCATTTTAATTGCAAATAATTAAAAACAAAAATAATTACAAAATTGCAAATCTAAATTGAAAGAAATATCAATATCCAATCTACTTTTGCTATAGTACTTGCAAAATACTAAATAATAAATTAACAAATGAAATGTTAGCTTCACAAATAAAAATGAACAAAAAAACAATTTTTTTAATATCGTGCATAAACATGTCATCACGCTTTTTAATTTTTATTATTGTTAAATGTGATATAATTAAACAACTATAATCATACATTTAATTTTATATAAGTGTGGGTGCAGAAATTATGGCACTATATATATTTAAATTATTTTCTTTGTTTCGATATATTAAATAATGAATAAAAAACGTGTAAATTTAGAAATCTGCATAATCTCATTTTCTTTATTCCTACAGCTGAAATCATGCATAAAAATCCTTTTTGTTTCTTAAAATTCGTACACAAACAAATAATACTTTTAAAAATTCAAAAACTCCTATCAATATAGTGATGCATATATACTTAAATAATTTATATTTATATTATTTTTATTTTTCTAATGATCAAATCTTGAAAATGTGATATGTTCATTGTCTAAAATTTTTAAATTAAATTTGCACATATTACTTATACTATTTTATAAACATATGTGCATGTGCATAGGTTAATTACTAGTATATATAATTGCTAGCAAGCTTCAATAAATTTTATTCAGCTAGCAATTAATAGGACTTCATTTAATAAAAATCTTTATGACCAAATGATAGTTACACAAGTAAAACTTTATTATTATTAATTATTATTTTGTAACACTTTACAAGATTTTAAATTTCTGAATATACAATATTAATTTATTTTGCAGCTAATATTCATATTTTGTATTATAGTTATACAATAACAAAAAAAAAAATTTGATTAATATGGAAGTTAAATAATTTATATTTATATTATATATAGTCAAAATTTTAAAATGTAATACACACTTTATCTAATTTAAATTTTTAAATATCATATACGTACATATAATATATAAATTTTTGTTTCCATCTGATCGAATACTAGTGTTTAGTAAAAGGTAAGAAACAAAAAAAAGAGAAAGTAAAAACAAAAGAAACCAAACTGCTACAAAAGGCTAAGCAATGGAGATAAATATATTTCTCTCTTTGAAACTCAAGGACCTACTGATGTCATTGTATCGCATAAACAACAAACTGGTTGGCAATGTCAGAATGTTAGACCAAACTACTCGAGGAAAATCATTTCTTATTTCTGAAAAGGCAGTATCAATAAAAACTAGTCAATTTTTCTTTTTAGTTACAGATATTTGAGACTACAAGACCTCAATCACATTCATGTCTGACAGTTGCTTTCTTGACGTAATGTGCTTCACATCACCACCTGCATATGAGTAGTTAACTAAGACTCTTCAGAGGGCAATACGCAAGAGTTGATCCAATCAATCTCAAACTGGTTCACCACTTACATAACTAAATAAGCGAATAAATGTTGCATACAATGTTCAAGCAAAAGACAGAATGTTCAAACTTTCAAAGCCGAACTTCCAAATTATGAGGTCATAGCATGCATATAAAATTTGTGGCAGACACTGTGTCAATGAGACAACCTTTTGCACAAGAGTTGAGGATTTGTCCTTTCGAATTTCAGCAACAACACCCTTAATATCCATTCCTGCATTGTCATGAATGTTTACCCTCAAGACCATGGCAAACACTCAAGAAAATGTACAAGTACGACTTTGATGCAATATCATCAATCCACATACCAAAATCCAAGTAAATTACAACTAACTATAAAACAGACTAAACTTATTTAGCTTGGGAAAAAAGATTAAATGGTACGAAAACAAAAATTTATGCTCTAACCTGCTGAGAATGCACGAGACGAACTACTTTCAACCAAGACACACTTTACCATTGGGTCTGTTTCCCATTCTTCCAGAAACTTCTTATATCTAATGTCCATATCTGCAGTATCCAACCACAACAGTTAGAAACCCATGATTTTGACCCACCAAAGAAA